CAGTAGGAAGCCTTTAAAAATCCTGCCCTCTATAAACACCCCAGTGCCCGGAGTGATTACTTCCTGTTCTAGTTCTCTGTTGCTGTGATAATACACTCTAACCAAAAGCAACTTAGGGGAGGAAAGGGTTTAGTTTATCTTACACTTCCAGGTTACATCCAGTCATTGAGGGAAGTCATGGCAAGAACTCGAGCCAGGAACCTGAAGCAGAAACAGTGAAGGAATGCTGTTGTTGGTTCACTGTCTGGCTCACTCTTAGGCTTGGACTTAGCTATCTTTCTTATACATCGCAGGACCACCTACCATATGGAATGGTATATTAACAATCATATATTAACAATTGAGACATTGCATCACAGACACGCCCACAGGCCGACCTGATAAAATGATTATTCAACTAAGACTCCTGTCAGGTGACTCTAGACTGTGCCAAATTGCCAGCTAAAGCTACAAGCTATTGGCCAGACAGGCTCCTGAAGTCTCACAAACCCTAAAGACTATTGCTCCTTATATTGGCTGCATGGCAGAGCTAGATAGTAAGTCTTTAGTGTCAAAGGACCTACACACTTTGGTTTTAGGATATAGACAAATCAAGTTGGAACTAATATGGAAGTTCCCTCACTATTGCCTGGCTTTTGTAGCTAGAAGGTATTATGCAGGTTGTTAGGGGAGTACTGCCACTGAAAGTCTTGCTCAGTATGGATGCTGCATGCTAGACTACCAACATGCCATGCAAACTGTGTCCACTAATATAGTAATGACATGACCAGTTGATTTCCAATCAGATTTAAGTTTTTCTCTAGAGAAGAGAACTCATGTTTGTAACTGCAAGTAACCCAGGACAATGCCCTACGGCTGGTGAGGTCATAGGTTCCATTGAAGAGGCTACAGATACTGGGTTAAAAGAAAGTAGCATGTTTGTCAAATTGCCTTCTATACATTTGTGTTTATCCCATAGATTACTGCTGTTGTCAGGCTTGGAGGAAGAGGAAAACCCTTTGTTGCAGTGGGTGATGGATACTATAATTCATACCTGGTCAAACTGCTGAGAATATGTGACTGTTTCTATGGCACAGCGGCCCAATGCTCAGGTACAAATGCAGAAAAATAGCAAGGTATCTATAATAACCCCTCCAAAACTCAAGGAATATCATGGAAAAGAAGGCAGAAAGAATATGGGAGCTGGAGGAAGGAGACTCGGGAAGCTGATGAAACCCATGAGGGCCGGGAAGCTCAGAAAGCTGTACCAATCGCAAGGCCTCGCCCTGAGGTCGTAAACAGTAAACCATTTCCAGAGAATGAGGAGAGTCTTATGTGGATTGAGCTGCCTTGAAGTCATGCAGGGAGCTCTAGAGATGCAGCTCATGAGTCCTCACCCACGCTAGGGTGGGTAGGCTATTCAGTGATACAGCTGCCTTTGAGTTTCCGATTTTCCTGTAAGTAACCATCTCCCATGCTTTGTAAAGCTAGACTTGGATAGAATTGTTTCTTTGGCCCAAGGCAATGATCTTGTCCTGAAACATCCAAACTGTATCCAAAACCAAGACGAGCCTTCTTCTTCATAACATGATTATCTCAGGTATTTGCTTCAATCATAGAAACCTAGCTAATGCAGACATTTAATAGAGTCATTTTAATACTATGCAAAGCTTTTAAAAATATTTAATTTATTTTTATTTTATGTGTATGCGTGTATTGCCTAAATGTAGGTAAGTTCACCCATGTTGTGCAATGCCCGTGGAAGACAGAAGACACTGTCAGATCCCCTGGAACTGGAGTTACAGACAGTTGTTAGCTGCCATGTGGGCACTGAGATTCAAATCCAGATCTTCTGCAAGAATAGTCAGTGCTCTTAACAGCTGAGCTGTCTCTCCATCTCCACTATACAAACTTTTTCAATAAATAAGGAAAATTATAAAATGCAATGAAAGGACAGTAATTTAAATAAGCAATTTGCTGAAAATAAATACATGACTATATGATATGACCTCATCACCCTCCATAAGATTGATGGAAATTACGCTTTGCTTTACATTTCGCACAGTGGAGAAGAAGAGGGAGATGGGCACTGTCAGAACTTACACATGAAATGGTAAAAGTGCCATAATTTCTAAAGGAAATTAATTTTCTGTCAGTTCACTGTGAGACATAAACAAATGAGTGATAAACAAAAGATGTAATAAATACTTAACTCTTAATAACTGGATATTGCTGAGTTTTAGATTTAGTGCTTAACCAGAGCTAAAATTAGGAGCTGCCACTTGATGTTACAGTTTGAATAAGTTCTGGTAAGCTTTACGCAGACACCCTCACAGATTATGCAGATTTTGAAGGACGAAGTCCCTCCTACCATAAACAGAGGGCGGAAGAGAGCAGAACCATGCCTGGCAGAAAATCTCAGCTAAAAGTGATCCTGGTTCATACCGTTTGAGTGAGTTGGAGGGAGTCATCCAGGTGAGAAAAGACAAAGCCTGACTAAGACAGGGTCTCAATGATACCTACAAGAAAGTGGGATGAAGAGACATCAAGATTTTGGTCACTGTCTGGGTATAGGACATCACAGAAGCACACAGATGGCTCCTACATCTTTAACTTGGACCATTTGCTGGTGATGGTTCCTTATACTGTTTCTTGTAGAATGAACAGAGGGTAGCAGGGGTTGGAGGTTTGATTCTTAAGACAGAACCTGTTGTTTTACTCTTCGTACTATCACATATTATCTGTGTGACCCTGGCAAAGTTACTGAATTTATCCTTGCTTCAGCCTCCTTGTCTCTAAATTAGAAAAATAATTATAGTACTTAGTTCATTATCTTAATGCTTGCTACAAAAGTACCTAGAACCATACTGGGCACGAAGTAAGTATTCTATGACTGTTAGGTTATTGACCCATGTTAGCATGTGTTCTGTCACTGACTTGTACTTTCAAGCTCCTATATTGCACTAATTTTTAATAATGTTAGTGTAGAGAGCTACAAAGATGTCTCAGTGGTTAAGAATACACGCTACTCTTTCAAAGGATCAGAGATCAGTTCCCAGCACCCACCTCTGGCAGCTCACAACCACCTGTAACTGCAGTTCCAGGGGATCTGACTCTCTCTAGGCCTCTGTACACAGAACACACATGCGCACACCCATACACAGACATAGATATATGCACTTAATTTAATTAAAAATAAAAATAAAATCTTTTTTAAAAGAATGTTACTGTAGTAAAGAGTTCTACAACTATGTCTTACTTTGGGATGCAGGGAAGATTTGATTCCTGACCAACTTAATAAAATCACATATCCTTCCAAGGCAAACGTTAGATAGGTTTTCTAGCAGCCAATCATAAGATTGGGGATTTCCAGGGTTAGTTTCCTTGTCAGTGACACAAACACATTACTAGACGCAGTCACCAGGATCCTGCTATATCACCCCCAATGCAACTAGAGGGGCAAAAGAGTGTGACACAGATACCATTTGCTGTATCGTAAGTACTAAAATCACATGACTCAGATCCAAGAGTTTCTCATCTTCAGTAGCATCAGTTAACTTGTTAGCTTGCAAGTAAACTCTCAGACTGTACATAGTTTCCATTTCCATGCCTGTTTCCCTCCATGCAAAGTGGACAGAGGGTCCCTACTTTATAGTGTTAATGTTAAACATACAAATGTGGTAATGTATACATAATGTGTAAAACTCAACTATGCCTCATAGCTGGACGGAAACGCTGTTGGAGGTGGCAGAATCTGGTGACTGTTGATTGCCTCCCCACCCCATCAAATGGCCTGCACACTTCCTCAGTCGTCCCTGGCTCCTCTGCATCACAACACCCGAGATGATTCTCTATTTCAACCAAGTTTATTCCCTAGATTATGACTAAGCTGCTTTTTTGTTTGCTTGCTTGTTTTTTTTGGCTCTTTGAGATGGGGTCACATGCAGCCTAGATTAGCCTTGAACTCTCTATGTAGCCTAAGAGGACTCTCTCTCTACATTTTTGTCCCATTCTTATTCCTTCTTTCTAGACACACACACACACACACACACACACACACACACACACACCACAGACTCTAGCAAAAAGGAGGGTGTTTTGCCAAGTGTTCTATCACAGCTCTAAATTTCCCTCAAATTACTAATAACAATATAATGATGACAGAAAATTGGTCTGTCTAAAATGAGAGACAGGAAAGGCAGAAGTTAGAACGAAGGGGGTCTTTATAGTAAGGAAAATTACAATAGACATTAAAAATATCAAGATTCAGGGCTAGAGAGGTGACTCTGCAGTTAACAGCACTGGTACCCTTGCAAAGGACTCAGGTTCAGTTCCCAGAACCCACATGGTGACTAACAACCCTCTGTAACTCTAGTTCCATGGGATTCAACACCCTCTTTTGGCCTCTGGGCATTGCATACATAGGTACACTTACATGCAGGCAAAACATACACATAAAATAAAAATGTTTTTAATTTTAAAAATATCAAGAATCAGTTATATAGCTGTATTATTCTTAAATGGCGAATCTTAATGAAAGTCTTGTGAAAGTACTAGACAGAAAATACAGAAAGTGGTGGCTGTAGCTATTTGGCCAAGTGAGTACTGAAGCATGGGAAGACAGAAAGAAGACAACCCTTTAGCATCACCAGGCCCCAGGGAATCCCAGCTCTGTCTCTTAGTAGTTGTGAGAACTTGGTAAAACCTTAGTTTATATACCTCCCAAATACGGAAAGATAAACCCCCAAGGTTCAACAAATTGTAGTTACAATGAGTGGATTGTGGGAGGGTGGCCAGTAGATCACTCCTCCAGAAAGTAATAAAAATATCAAGGAACATTCATGATCATTTCCCTCAAAGAAGATAAGATTTCATCATGTGCATTCTACACTTGCCAGATGCAGCATTATAGAACACAAACTATGACTTCAGTAAAAACTCCAGTTGCTGAAAATTCCTTCAGATTGGGTTTACATCACTGCCAGTCTTAAATAACCACTTAAATAATTTGATAAACTTACCTGTAACAAAAAATCAAAGAGTGCCATTTTGGACCACTCATGGTGATGGATTTCCAAGCAGCCCCACTCGGGTCTGGGAACACGGCCATTCTGCCAGCATTTCTGTTTTAGCAACTGCTGATAAATTCCCCAAGTCAGCTTAACCGAAGAGTGGCTATCATTGCTTGCCAGAGCTAGAGATGAGTCCCAGAGAACGACAGGACGTGGGCGGCCATCTAAAGAATCAGAAAAACAAACAGGCTTCAACATGCTGCCCTATTGAGTGGACCAGGGCCCCTGGGAAGCTCACTCAGTCTTTAACAGACTCCTCTCACCTATCTAATGTGGGACATTGATCAACCACGTTCCATGGTCCCTCTGTTCTCAGAAGTTTTAGTATTTTTACATATCAATGATATATAAAACAATAATATGTAAAACAATAATATATAAGACTTCTGTTATGTCTTAAAAAGTGGAAAATTACCATAGAGATGAAAAAATTTAAACTACTTTATAGATGTGGCAGGAATAGGCTACTAACCATCAATAACAACGTCCTCTGCTTAATATGGTTTTATTCCACATCTAAAAGCAGCTACCACAAAAAAGAAAAGAATCCAGACATTTGTAATTGTCTATTCAATGTCTGAGCAGAGATGTTCTCTGTAATAACAAATGTCTGATTTTCTTGAGGCCACATTCGGATGTAAGAAAAAAAAATCAGTTTTAGAAGTCACAAATTTCAGAGAGAAATTGGATGCTTCACACCAATCAGTGGAATCTCCAAAGAAGGAAAAGAAGAGCAAGATGCATTTGCTGCTTTTGTTTCTCTTTTCTGATAGAAACCATGCAAGCCCAACAGTGATCGTGGGCAGGAATCATTTAGTCACACATAACCTCATAAAGTATGTTTAATCAAAGGTCACTTCAACCGCATGTGTAGACGGTATTATCTTAATGCCACTCGAGTTGTTTTGCTCTCACTTACTCAATTGAAATGCAATTTCTTTCACTGCTGCACTGTACAAGATTTTCTTGAGGCCACATTCGGATGTAAGAAAAAAAATCAGTTTTAGAAGTCACAAATTTCAGAGAGAAATTGGATGCTTCACACCAATCAGTGGAATCTCCAAAGAAGGAAAAGAAGAGCAAGATGCATTTGCTGCTTTTGTTTCTCTTTTCTGATAGAAACCATGCAAGCCCAACAGTGATCGTGGGAAGGAATCATTTAGTCACACATAACCTCATAAAGTATGTTTAATCAAAGGTCACTTCAACCGCATGTGTAGACGGTATTATCTTAATGCCACTCGAGTTGTTTTGCTCTCACTTACTCAATTGAAATGCAATTTCTTTCACTGCTGCACTGTACAAAGAATGATGAGCCTGAGCGAAGTGACCACAAATGGGAAAGATCAGGACAGTAAACTCATCAGGATCAAAACCAGCTCTGTCAAGTCCCTATAAAGCCACAGAGATGGTGATGAACAGCTTGGCTTACAACTCAAAAGTCAGTGTGATATTTTGGGGAAAAAAAAAAATTACAAAGATCTAGAAAATCCCCCTTAACTCATTCTAAGCAGGCCTGAACAATAGCTCTTAGAAATTACAACTAGGGTATCCAGACCTGCCCCAGGAGCTTCCTCAAACCCTTTTGAATGGCCTTCTGTGTTCTGAATCTATCAATTTTGTTGGTATGCTAGAAGCTCTTGCTTCTCTACCCTTCTTATTTGGTTTCCTGTGGAGTTTGTATCTACAGGAAACTGTCAACGTCTTAAACCATTCTTGAATTTGGGGTCACATCAACATCAACTATTTTAATTGCATTCACTTAATAATTCTAATCACTCCAATTCCAGTCTGCTCCAAAGAAAAAATCATTCAGCATTTCACCCACAGTACAGTTGGGACATAGGAAAGGTCCTGTGGCTTGTACAAAGCTTGCCATTCTCACTGACATACAGCTGAGAGAGAAACTTGAGGCATAGTGAAAAGACACTTTTCCATCATCTACATCCTTTCCATTTCTAAGTGATTTGGGACCTAATTACTTTCTTAGATGATCAAGATAAATACTTTGCTGTTTTTACGAACAAATATATCTATGTAAAAACTATCTATCTCTCATCTGGTCTGGTGGTTTGCATAAGAACATCCCCCATAGGCTCCAAGTATTTAGACATTTTGTCCCCAGTTGGTGGCACTGTTTTGGGAGGTTTTAGAAGGTGTGGCCACGCTGGAGGAAGCACGTCACTGGGGGGCAGGCTTAGAGAGTTCTTAAGCTCTTTTGCTTCCTGTGACTGCTTGAAGATGTGAGACCTTAGCTTCCATTCCTCCTCCAGCCACCTCTGTCACCATGCCTCCCCACCATGATGGATTCTTGCCCTTGGAACCGTAAGTTCAAATAAACTCTTCCTTTTATAAGTTTCCTTTGGTCATGGTGTTTCTATCGCAGCAACAGAAAAGTGACTAACACATGTTGTGAAGGCAAGTCTGGGCCAATGTAGCCAAATACAAATAAAAAATACCAGTGTAGCTTTCGAATACATCACTTCAGACCTGAGAACACCAAGAGGTTTGTGTACCCATGTCCTTCACACTGTGATCCATAAACAGCAGTTTGTATCTTACAGGTAGGAAATATTCAAAGGAAGTTAAAGCCCAATACAGCATTTCCACAGCATACATCACTGCAAGGGGCAGAAGACAGCGGTTTCCTCCACTGTGCCTGCCCTGGGAGGAACACAGAAGTGTTCTACAGAAGTGATGGAAAGCTGCAGTGTTCTGTTCCCAACTTTAAAAACATACGGCTCTTTCTGTAAAACTGAATGAAAGCAAATACCCTCATTTTAGGCAACACAGGAAAACATCAATGTTTATAGCTAAGAATACTACAGTCATGTATTTTGTTCTCCAGAATTTTATTCTTTTCCTGAATATATAAATGGTTTTAAAACGTAAGAAAAGAATATATGGTTAATTTGTGGGTGGAACTTAGAATATAGAACCCAGAAGACATTTTGTATTCTTGCCACATGACTTCTTATCTTTGTAACACCAGATAACTCACAAAGCCTTTCCAAACCTTCCCTTCCTCCTCTGTGAAATGTGACTACCTATCTTTGCAAACTGACTGCTATGATTAAATGAAATCATGCATTTAAAAAATCTTCTTCAAACTTTTCTTACTTCCTCGTTATAAAAATATGCAAAATCTCTTCCTCCAGATTTTTGGAAATATTCAGTATAAAATTGGTATTCATAGTCACCCTACTGCATAATACCCAACATGATAGATATATTTAACTGGGTTTGAAGATTATATGATGTGTACATGTACCAAAGCATCCCATGGTACCTCACTAATATATATAATTGTTATATTTACATATATAAATTAAATGAAGGCACAAAATTTGAAAGCAAGTGAGTAAAGGCTTCAGCCTAATGTCTAACATAAATGCACATCCCAGAAACGCTTTGTGGTAGTTATTTCTACATATGTACCTCCCATAACCATGTAACACATCAGTCTTCACCTGACCTGTGTTGCTAACTGAGCATCTACTATATTTCATGCAGCATTACAGAGCCTGCTACACTTGCATAAATCAGCATCAACTTTTGCTTTCACTGTCATGGAGCCTAAATTGTACCTGATGAAGAAGCAAAATGTACAGAAGGAAAAAAATGTAGAGCCATTTTATGTATGCAGGTCCCTCATAAATATTTCCCCAAATATTATATCATAAATATTTATCTTATAATTATATATATTTTTAAGTAGCACCACTGTGGTTGTGTTGCAGTAAGATAGCCTAGTGGTGGACAAAAGGAAACACTCGGAGCTGTACCAGCCATGTGACCTCCATCACTGCTGCTCAGCTCAGGGTCACTGTGGCACAGAAAATTGTAGGCAATGAGACAACTCATTATGACTAGTCCACCAACACTTTACCACGAACACTGAAAAGAGAATTTCATGTGATCTTGAAGTATCTTAGTAATAGTACCACTCTTTTTATTATTTACAACCATGTAAAGTTACAGAAACCACTTTCAGTTCATAAAATAAAGATAGGTAGTGAGCCATCTTTGGCTGCAAACTGTAATCCTTACTAGCCTGTGAGTTTACTATATTGCATTTGCCAGGCTTCTCTTGTAGATCATTAGATTCTTTCAGGCTTCTATTTTCCCTCTTAAAGCAAGGTCTCCCTGAAGCCCCAGCTTGCCTTGATCTCCCTGTGTAGACCAGGCTAGCCTTGATCTCATAGAAATCCACCCGCTCTGCCTCCTAAGCACTGGGATTAAAGGCGTGAGCCACCATGCTCTGCTTTTTTTGTTCCCCTCGGGTTCCCCGAACTGCCCAAGATGGACTTGAGCATCCACTCCTCTCATCTCAGCCTCCTGAGTGCCGGGGTTCCCAGTACGTACCATAAACCTTGGTTTTTTGATACACTTTGTATTTTCATAAATAAAAAGTCATTCTTCGACTGTCAAAAGTGGCTCAGCTGATAGGTGCAACTGGTTTTTCATTAGCATCCTGAGTTTTTCTCCTTAACGCTCTAGGTTCCCTCAGTAAAATATCTTGACTGCTGACACCTACATGAAGACATTTATCTCTTTCCTGTTAGAAAAAGGAATTCCCAGAGAACATGGAAGGAGCAGAATACTCAGCAGTACCCCAAGTGGTGGGGTGGGCTGCAGAGCCTCCTTTCCTCTGTTCTCACCGCTCGGTCTTACTGCCGTATTTCAGTGTGTTTGACCCCTGCCAGTAAAAACAGCTGTCACTATGGCCCCAGATCTCACAGCAGTGAGACCACCAAGAGGAGAGGTCCACTTTTGATAAAATATGGCTTTTAAGAGAAGTAAATGAACTTTGATAGATCTGAAGTGGTAAGAGGAAAATGACCTCTGAAAACAGGAGCCTGGTTAAAGGCACTCGCCCTGAAGTGTTTCCGAAATGAGCCATGTTCATCTCTTCCCATTCAACTTTGTCAAAAATGATGCAGTGCTGCGCTCTCTGGAGAAATCTTAACAGTGAAGAGATAAAATTCTAACTGTCAGAGCAGTGGGAAAGCAGCTTGGAAAAGATGTGTGGGTGTTCATGTGAATTAAACGTTATACAGCTGTCTTAAAAAGGAGACTTGCCAGTAAAACGCCTTTTTTCCAGTATCTGACTATTTCCCAGGAATTTTTATGTTCTCTCAAGTTATTTTTTATTCAACAGCAC